TTCACCAGTTAAATGCTTATATGTTAAACAGCTGAAACTGCAAAGAACTTCCAAGGTAATACTTAGATATTTGAGAATCATTTATGCTAAACAGCTGAACCAGTCAAACGGAGATAAGAATACTGACATTCTAATTTAGAAATAAGTGGGGTTTTTTGTTTGTTTTATTCAAGTTGGAGAACTTCTACTGTCATAAACATATGTAAATACAAAATAAACATACAATGCTTGTTAAAAGCAGCAACTAAGCATTGCTTTTTTGCTCAAAATACAGAAAAAAGTAATCAATTCTCAATCATCTCTATGAAAGGAGAAAATAGTGATAACACATGATCTATAAAGAACTTATTTAACTTTCAAATATATCATAATAGTGTTTTTAAAAAGAAGCTGAACTTATGCCAATATTAAAAAATTTTTTCTTCAGTTATCCATTAAGCAGATTTTTACTGAGTACCTACTGTAAGGCACTGAAATATACTTTGGATATATAGTAGCAAACCAAACATCTCTGTTCATGAAGCTTAAAATCATCAAACAGATAATCCGCCAAAACAAAAACTAATTATGCAATACAAACTGTACTAGCCCTATAAAAGAACAAGGTGATCTTAAACAGTATTAACAAAGAACCTAAGTTTAGGTTGGTATGTCACAGAAGGCCTCTCAAAGTGACAGTGAGGCTTAAGGAGGAATGGAGGGAAGGTGACACAGCGCACGCCAAAGCCTGGAGGACAGAGCAAGACAGGATGGCAACCCGAGGAATCGAAAGGAGGCAGCTGGGACACAGAAAGGAAGGGGGAAAGTGGCATGTGAGGCCAGAAGTGAGCAAAAGCAAAATGTAATTACCTTGCAAGAAATGGGAAGGCTTCGGGGTTTGGGGGCAAGTGAGAGACCTGAACAGCCTTCCGTTTTAAGAACATCACTCTGACTACAAGACATAAAATCAGAGAAAGGCAAGAGTGTATGCAGGAAGTTGGTGAGGCAGCTACTGCAGGGCTTTAAGAGCTGACTATGTTACCTTAGACTAGAGTGGTGGCAACACAGATGGGGAAAGAAAAGATAAATTCAAGATATATTTAGAATGTAATGGTCAGAATGCAGAGGGTGGGGGAAAGGAAGCTATCAAGAACGACTCAGGTTTCTTAAGTGAAAAACTAGAGTAAGAAATATTTATTAAAATGAGCACGACTAAAAGAGAAATTTGAGAGGGTAGGTAATGAAGAGGTTAAGCGTATGATCTGTTGAGACTGAGAGGCTGTGAGAATATAAGCAGAGATAACAGGAAGGCAGAGGACCGTAGCAGTCTAGAGCTAAGAAGAGAAGTGTTCTTCTTCTCTATGATGTGCATTCAGGAGTTGAGAGCATACAGGGCTATGATGTGCATTCAGGAGTTGAGAGCATACAGACCATGGAACAGCAGATCACCTAGGGAAAAGGGAAAAGGCAGTAGGTGGGAAGAGGACTCAAATCCAAACAAACTCCAATGTTGAGAGTCTGATAGAGGAGCTGAACTGAAGGAGAATGAAAAGGAGTGGCCAGAAAGGTGGGAAGAAACTAAGCAGGATGTCACTGAAAGCAAAAGGAGTGGGTGTTTCAAGGAAGGAAAACAAAGATCAACTAGACCTATTGAGACTGAAAGGTCAAGTAAGATTTTCAGGTCAAGCTGACTAGTAAGGAAGAAGTGAAGGGTTGGGGAGAGTGGGACATTTGAATATATGTGACACTAGGAAAAAAGTCAACCTGGAATCCAAAACATTACAGATCATTCTTTTCAAATAATGTAAACATCCTTTATCATTTTTTTCCCTCATGTAATTTATTTTAATAAGCCATTAAAGCATATTCTTACCATGATATTAAAACCTAATGACACGGTGACACAGCAAAAAGCAACCAGGGTTCTCATATTGTCACACCAGAACAGGGCATGCTCTGCAGTTTCATATTTTTAAATTGAACTTTCTAAATAAGAAATAAAATCTACATGTTTTGCAATTCTGAAGTCAACATTACAAAGACAGAATTTAAATTATTAGAAAATTAAAATGGTTTTCCTGAAGAGATAATTTTCATACAACTTCCCCCCAAAATGTTAAAATTAATTCATTTAACATGTCTGTCTACTGTATTCCAGGTACACCACTCTTACGACTTTACCCACTTTTTTCTCACCAAGGGCTCACACGTAAATGTTGGTATGTTCTATGACAATCCCATTATTTGTACTAATACACAAGTCAATAAAGCCTGCCCTTTTTCGGGTTTTCAGCCACTCTGTTATTACTTATGGGCATCACCCTTACCTCTCTGTTGGCTTTATGAGTAGTCGAAACAGAGCCAGATTTTGAATTGGAAAAATGGCTTTTAATCCTACTGTTTACTGTTATGTATACAACTTTACTGTTATGTATATAACCTGACACAGCTTACTTGGCTTCTCTAATAAACTAAATAAGCTTCAGTCTATTCACCAGTAAATTAGAAAAAAACTTAATTCACAAGGTTGTTGAGTGGTTAAATGTGACAACAAATATTAACTGAATCTAATCCTAACATTCTTCATCACTTCTGTGAACTGAACTACCAAGTTATATGCCACTATTATTTCTGCTGAATATAAGCCAAGCAATTCCACTCAAAATTTACGTACTAGTTATAGATCAAATCTTGGAGCATGAATTGTTAAAATTAGTAATATTCTTTACATTTAACAGTGCAATATTCTACAACTGAAATAGATGTGTAATGTTAAATGCACATCTATTTTACACTCCTTTCCTGAAAACCCCACTGAAATGACAGAAAAGGAATTTCTTAAGATATAAAGCCATAAACCCACAAAAACTGAGAGAACGGGTAGAAAAGACAATAGCAACAAAAATTTGGAAGCTGGAAAGCAGATGGTTGAGTGACAAATGACTTATTTAGCAAACACTAGGAAATCAAATCTTTAGCAAACAGTGGGGAAAGCCAAGAACAAACCCAATTTAAACTGTAAAATCCCCAAAAGACTCAGGAATTGGCAGTTACCACATACATCTGAAGTGGGATGTGGGAGAGAGAGTGCTTAAAATAAGGAAGATTGTTTAAAAGTCTGTTTAAGAAGCAACCAGCCCTACAAATCCCAACGGCCCCTCCCCAGCCCCAACAAAAAACTGAAAATATATTGTCTGGTGAATATAAAACACAAGATCCCAGGACTGAGGAAATGAGGCACAAAAGTATGCAGGAGAACATACTGAAAACAAGCTGACTGAGTGAAGAGACATATACAGGGATGCTCCACCAGGTGACCATAAAGCAAAGCTAACGAGACTCTCAGAATTTTGAATCAGCATTTTACTCCCCTACTCTCACACACAACCACCATCTAAGGAAAGGCTACAGCACAAAAGATAAAGACCGAGCAAATAAAAACTAAGAAAGCTAAAACTGGAGGACACAGATCACACAGGGATCAGACAGCTAAGAGAAAGTACTATTATTACTAGAACAGGACAGATATTATTTAAAAGGACCAAAGACAAAAGCTCTTGGAAATCAAATACATGATAATAGATGGAAACTCAACAGAAGTAAAGCAAAAAGAAAAAGAGATGGCAAATAGGAAAGAAAATATGAGAAAATTAGAAGACTGGTCAAGAAGGTCCATTATCCCAATAAAAGGAGTTTGAGAAAGAAAAAAGAAATTGGAAAGAAATAATCAACAACCTCATTCAAGAAAAAGTCTCAGAATTAAAAGATGTTTCCAGACTGAAAGGGGACACCAGTACTCAGCACCCTGAATGAAATGAAACCCACATAAGAACCCATCATCATAAAATTTCAGAACACTAAAAACAGATACAATTTTAAAAGCTTTCAGAGATTTAAAAGAAAGAGAGAAGGGATGGAAAGAGAGAATAAACAAGAGTATAGGGGAAAAAAAGAAAAAACAAAACACATACACACAGGTCACATGTAATATATATAAGGAATCTGAATGGCTTCAAACTTCTCAAAAGCAAAGTGGAAGCTAGAAAGCCATGGAGCAAAATTATAAAATAATACAATTTCCAATCCAGTATTCTTTACCTAACCGAAGAATCAAACAAGTAACAGGGTAAGCTAAAGCCATTTTAAAACATCAAGTGAGCCAAGAATGAATAATGACATGAGTCACTGGAAAATGGAGATCCAACCACAGAAGACAGTGAAAGGAATCCCACAAATATTAATAGTTGCATACCAAGTCTAAAAGGCAATCAGTCCAGAATGAAGCTCAGAGAAATATCAGAGAGACTTCCTCAGGAAGATAAAATTGATAACAGTACCTGATATGTCTGAACATCTCAAGGGACATTTGATGAAATGATGAATCAGTGATTACTACAGAGAAAATTAAGGGGGGGCCGGGTGGGTGGAGACAATGAATTCCAGCCAAATCACCCTATGGTAAAGCTAACAGTCAGCAAGTCACATTGAGAACTTCTTATCAGCTCTTTAGTCTTCTACACTTAAGTACAAGCAGAGGACCTAGAATTGCCAGACATCTGAAGAAAGGCTCTATAATAAAAGGTTAAGCCCAAAACATACAAAAATGGGGAGAAAGGCAACTTGGAGGAAACAGATGATGACAGATGAAACCTTGGGGTGGGGGAACCCACTAACATTTCTAAATGCTAAATAGTATAAGAAATATATATATAAGTGTACCACACATACTAGATGGCTGGGGTGGGAGGAGGGAGGCAAGTGCAGGACATTAGACAGGATAGGAAAAGTAATCATATTTTACAAGAACACTGAATAATCAATAGTGATGCAATCATAACTACTAAGAGGAGGAGGGACCAGGAGGAAGGAGGACCAACTGAGTAGGTCATGACAAAGTTAATCTTCATTTTCTACCCACGAAGTTAATAAAGCCAAAAACAAAAGCAAGGATGGACTTCCCTGGTGGCGCAGTGGCTAAGAATCCACCTGCCAATGCGGGGGACACGGGTTTGAGCCCTGGTCCGGAAAGATCCCACATGCCACGGAGCAACTAAGCCCGTGTGCCACAACTACTGAGCCCGCGCGCCTAGAACCCGGCTCCGCAACAAGAGAAGCCACGGCGACGAGAAGCCCGAGCACCCCGACTAAGGAAAGCCCGCGCACAGCAACGAAGACCCCATGTAGCCAAAAATAAAGAAAGAAGGAAATGTATTAAAAAAAAAAAGTAAGGAGTATTTATTTAACACACACACATATATGAGTTAGAAACAGTTCTAAGGGCTTTGCAAATACATTGAATTCTTATAACAACCCTATGAGGTAGGTACTATTTTCCTCACTTTTTAAAATGAGCAAACTGAGGCACAGCGAGCTTAAGCAGCTAGTAAACAATAGAGGATGGATCAGACCTAAGCAGTCTACTTCCAGGGTCCATGCTCCTAACCACCTGGCTATGTTGCACATCTAGTAGCAACACAAGCAGTTAGAGACTAGGAGGTAAATATCACAGTCATCATCTAAAAGAGGTGAAAGTGATTGCTTCTGGGAAATGAAGCAGGCAGGAAGCTTCTGTTTGTTTTGATAACCATGTAAACTATTTGGCTCTTTAAACAGTGCAGGTACAACCTAAATAAAAATTAAAACTTATAATTTAGTATTTTACAGTTAAAGTATTTTATCTGATGCTACCATCCTAAGAAGTAGGCAAAATGAGTATTATTCCTACTTGATAAGAAAACTCATTCCTCTTTAGTAAATATGAGGGCCAACTCTACAACAGGCACTGCATTTAAAAGATAGACATCAATTCACCTCAAGGTATGAAAAGGCAAAAGAGGTAGAAAAAGCAAGTATTTTCATTCATTTCTTTTCACTTTGTTGCATTTAACTATATGATCCTACAACCTGAACAGCTGTGCTTAAGGTGAGAGACAATACCAATTTTAAATCATGATAGAAAAAGCAGAGAAAGGTCTGCTCATTAATCGGTTCAAAAAAGATTTAGCTCTTGCCCTTGAGGAACTCACAGTCTTGTGGGGAAAATGGATAAACATAATTCAGACTGAATGTGTGCAGTGCCTCGACTAGAGGAACACTAAAAAGGGCTAAGGAAACAACATTCCCTGAAGCAGAAGAGACTGCTTCAGAGGGAACATCTGAGCTGAGCCTTGAAGGAGGAATAGAAGTTTGACCAATTAATTTCACAGAAGAGGCTGTACTAACAATCACAAAACACTAGACTATACATCAGTGTGAAATACCTGTGTCTTCCCTGTGTTGTAAAAATAAGTTCACATTAAAGGTTAACGTGAGACATTAAGAACTTTTTAATGAGAATGATTTTTAAAAATCTAGATACATAATCTTAATGCCTGATCCATGTTTCTAATCTTCACAGTCTCTACCAGTAGCCAACTGAAAGCATTTTCCACATGTGTTAGAAATATTTTAAAATTTAAAGTGTTAGAATATTATTTCAAAAGATGACTAAAGAACAACGAATCTTCATCTGTCCTACCATCCAAAAGTTTTATTGTTAACGTGTTTTCTAAGTCGTAATACTGAAATTACAATGTACTCTTTTCTCCTATGGGAGACTAATAGGTGACCAAGCCCAGAAGACACAAGTGACACAGAAACTAACATGGGAAGAAAAAGTAAAAAACACTTTAAAAAAATAAATAGAAACTCATTATCACTTTTTTCTCTTGCAGATATTCTCAAATTCCCTTCCAAGAACCAATTTAAATGAAACATTTCTTTTTCCGAACTACAGTCGTAAAAGAAATAATCTGCAAGAAAGCACAAAGAAAATAATATACAAATTTACCCTGTCTGACCTTTACAGGTATTTCAGGGGTCATTTTGATTTCTCAGAATTTAAAGGATACCTCTGAAAAAAAATTTTCTGGTCTTGACGACTTGACTTTGATGTTAACAAAGGCTCAAATATATAGCTCACTCAAAACAGGTACAGTCAACTCCAGTTACTTTATACCAATATTTAATCATATGTCTCAGTATCTGTTTTTGTCCCTTTAATTTCAAAGCTTCCTACATAATTTGCCCCTCGTTAATGTTCCTCTCAGTTACTATATGGAAAAATTAATTTTGTAGTAATATCTTAAACGGGGACTCTATCTCTACAGTTAAAAACCGAGCTGTAAAGTCTCCTGACTTTAATCATCTGGAACAGCATGTTGTGGAAAGCTCTATCATGCCCCACCACCAGGAGGAAAACAAAAAAGGAGAGAGTCATGCCAGGAGACCACAAACAGTAATTGGCAAAAATCATGGCAGGTCTGAATTCAAAAATATGTGGTTTGCATTTGTGTATCTGACCCATCCTTTATTTCTCTAAATTTAGCAACCACATAATGGACCCGTGGGCTTTACTCAGATCACACCCTTTAAATTTAGAACTTATTAATATTTGGGGTAAATAATTCTTTAAAATTACAGATAAGTATTAGCATGATTTGATACATTTAAAGGTTTAACAATAATTATAATAGGACTCTTAAGGAAACCACCTCCTAGAAGAGGTCTATCTTTTAATGTACAGTTTTGTACACATGATACTGAATACATTTGGCTAGGTAACGAGATTTTAATTATATGACTTAGAAAAGTAATAAAAATCTTGAAAGACAAGACTTTAAATTATTTCAATTTATCATGCCTTTACCTTATATCTTCTAAGTAACTAAAAAAAAAAACAAAAACAAAAAACATGAAAACCTCACTGAAACATTAGGCCTTTGTTTTTCTAAAACTGCATTTCTTTTGAAATATGCTCAATATTTCCAAAGGGAAAACCACAGATATACATTTTGAATGTAAATGTTCCAACTGGTTTGATAAAAGTTCAATCTCAAAAATCTCCAACTAATACTAAAATAATTAAGTATCTTTCAAGCTTATTCAAAGTTCCACAGTGAAAATGAATAGCCTTTGTCATAACTCCTATATTATTTTGGTCAAGGTTAGTCAGACTGGCAAATTTGTGAAAAGAACATTCCTTTAAAAATCAACTTAGTTTAAAGCCATGTAGTAGCATGAGAGATTTCACAACTTTTCTAGCTAGCCAGCTTCAAAGACACAATTGGATTCAATAAACATGATTATCACATTATTTCCAATCCAATTAAGAAAACGCTGGTTTAATAATGTACTTTAGGCTTTATGTATTTTTTTGGTAAGAGAAGAGGAGAACAGGTGGAGTAGACTGTAGGAGCACAAAGTCGGTTTCATGTCTCTATAAATTCAACCCTCCAAGACTTTGTTTCTTTACCCTTTAAAATGGCTACCACCTTGATCTACTATGCAAAAGGAAAAATGCACAGCATACTACTATCAACGATAAATCCGGTTATTTTTAAGAGTGTATGGCCTCCTACCCCATGAAACACTTTTTAAGATTCCCATTCCTTTACTGTTCCAATGAAACGACCATTAGATAAGTACACAAAAGTTGGGCAATTAGTTTGAGGGCAACCTGTATAACCCAGCTTAGGTCATCTTTCCTGTAATATCTGATGAGGAAAAGCAGCTAACCTTATCTTTCACAGACTAAGAGCAAACACAGTAGAACTTTAAAGGGTTGTCCTGTCCAGTAAAGGAGAAACAAATGTGGGAACCACAACCTCCCCTCCCGTCCCCAAGAGATGATCATAATGATTTTAGGAACTCAAAAGAACAGATTAACTATTAGATGGGTCAGCAAAAGCTAGTAACTCTAAAAACCATTTTATAAATAACAAAACCACTTGGTGCTCCCAAACCTATTCTTAATGCTCAAAAACTATCCTGTCAAATAGTGTTTACACAATACTTACACCACTTCCTGGCCAACTAGTTTGAGACCGCTCTATCACACTCTTGCTCTAGAAAACTTACCAGAAAAATGCAGTTTCACATACAAAAAGGAAGAAATATATAACGCTTTAGACTGATCTTGTGCATATACATAGCTACTAAAATAAATTGACTCTGCATCTGCTGAGTGTCTGCAGAAACATGGCATGACCTTACCTCTCATCCTCGCCATCCACCAGGGGTGTCGTCAGCGGTAGCACCTTCAACGGGAAAAGAGAAGCAGAGGCTCCTAGGCTGCTGCTACTCCCATCGGAAACTGCCGACATGCCCCCACTGTCACCACTGATAGTCTGAGGTAAGCCAACTAAGGAGGGTTCCGCTGGGCGCCTGGCATCTTCAATTTGGCTTCCAATTGCCTGAGCTAATGATTGTGCAGAGAACTGAGTAGAACTTGGTATCTGCTGCGCCAAAGGCAAATTTATATTAGGTGCTGCCATCAAGGGAGGCTGACTAACACTTTGAACCAAATTACCATTTTGAGTGGCAGGGGCTTGTGCTATATTCTGTGATGGAACCAAGTTTGTTGGGACAGAAGGCATTCCAGAAGGCCCAGCTGAACTAACCTGATTCGTAACAGAAATACTGCTAGCAGAGGGCAAAGGACTGACTGCAGGCAACTGCTGCGAAACAACTCCTGGAGCTACTGACTCTACTCCTGGCAGCTGGGGAGGCACAGTTAACAAGGTACTCTGGGGTGCAATGACCAACTGCTGAGGAAGGCTTGAAGCACTAGCTTGAACTCCCTGATGAAGAATCGCAGCCTGAGCGGGTGGAACTACCTGTGAAGACGGAGGAGCACCTTGCGGGATAACTGAAGGTGTGACTTGGGCAGAGGGCTGCTGCGCTGCCGTAGGTAGGTTTGTCTGTTGACCAATATTTGCAATTTGACTGCCAGGAGGTACAGCAGATACTGCCGTCTGCGCCTGGCCAGCGGGTTGGCCAGCTGCCCCGGCGGGCTGCGCCTGGACTGCTGCGGGCTGCACTGGCAGCTGGATGCCCTGTGGCTGAGCCACAGGAATCCCCGAGGTTCCTGCTCCCACCCCCGCAGAAGTGGGCTGTCCAGAGGACACTGCCGTTTGCAGAATCGGCTGCTGCTGAACATACTCGGAAGCAGGATTCGGAGTCACTGACGGGCCATGGCTCGGGGCCACCGACGGCTGCTGTCCATAGTGTAACTGCTGGGGTGATGTGCCTGGCAGGGGTGCTTGCGCCGGAGGGGCCGCCTGAGAATACGGCAGTTGGGGCTGAGCCAGGCTGGAAACGGAAGGCTGCTGACCTAGAGCTGAAGTTACACCCACCACGCTCACAGGTGATGGCTGGATACCAGCTGCAGCACTGAGAGCGGCTTGCAGAGGTACTGGTTGAAGACCCTGCTTCTGCTGATAGCTCAGTTCTTGAGACTGCAACTGCGCTTGCGAGATCTGTGACTGAGAAATACTCTGTGGCATACTAACTGCTGAAATGCCCGCCGGAGCAGCGCTACTGAAGTCCATCTGCGGGAGGGCGACACCTGGAAGAGCGGGCGGCTGCTGCACCACGGCAGCTGGGGCCCCCATCTCTCCGCTTCCCACACTCTCCGTGTAGTGGCTCAGCGTGCTGACACTGCTGCTCACTGAGCTCCCGCTCGTGCTCTCCCTCTCAGAAGTCACTTCTGTCGGGTTTTGTTTTACGCTTTCCACTGCTTTATTTATCACCACCCCTTCGGCGGCGGGGGCAGCGTTTTCTTTCTCATAGAACTCGGTGCAAGTCCATCTACCTTTTTTGAAGGGCTCAGAACTCGAATCTAACTTCACAACTCTGAACCTGGACGTGTTAACTGTTGGCTGTTGCTGCTGACTTGAAACTGATCCTACAGTCATCCCTGCAGCTGCACTGGCAGTGCTGTTAATGAGAACGGAGGACGAAATCGTACCGTTGCCCAGGCCGCTCAAGACAGTCACGTTAACACCGCAGCTCACTCCAGGCCCAACGCTCACACCGGCAGCACTGGGAACGTTGCTCGCACTTAAATTAGCATTAGCAAGCACGCTGCTGGTCACGTTAGGATTAAAACCGCCCACAGCCGTAATGTTAACATTATTCATCGTATTAGTACCTGTAACAGAATTTATACCTATACTGCCGCTTGTACTTGGAGCACGGATACTAGTCATTACAGATGCAGGTGAGCCACTCGATGATACGGCAGAAGTTGGTGCAACTGGCATAACAGTGTCAGAGCTTCCAGTTGTAGACAGTTTTCTGGATACTGGGCTTGCGGGCGGCCCTCCCGGAATGGGTGTACTGGCCACACTGGCATGGGATGGATGGTGGTGCCCGTGATGGAGGTGGTGCCCATGATGAATGTGAGGGTGGTGATGGAGGGAGTGGGGATGAGCATTCCCATTGATTACAACATTCTGTTGTGGAAGGTGAGGCAAATGAGGCTGAGGAAGGGGGGGCTGGTTGGGAGAGACTGCCCCAGGTGTCTCGGCTTCCTGGAAGTTATTGAGAGTTTCTTCTGAGGAGCTGCGTTCAGGCTCCCCTAAGTCGGTAGCCCTGGAAAGTGACACATCAAGGATCTCGGAAGACGACAGATCTTCTGTGTGAGATTCATCCAGATCATCGTAGCTTTCGGTGTCCTCTGCGATGCTGTTGTTAGAGCTGATGCTAGCGGAGATCTGAGCCGGGGTCACGCTCGTTATCTGGAAGCCACTTTTCTTTTTCATTTGAGTTCCGCCTGGCGCAAGAGGCTGTGCCTGCAGCTGAGCCTGCGAAAGGAGGTTCAGGCTTTGTGGAGGCGGAGGCTGTGGTCCCGACAGAGAAGATGCTGCAGGAGGTGGCGGCTGGAGCAGCGACGGAGGCGGAAAATCCTCGGAAGATGGGGCACTACTACCAACGCCGGTACCTGCTGCACTGAGAGCAGAGGCGCTGCCACCACCACTGCCCCTTCGAGGCAACATTGCCGGGTGCGCCATCTTCCTAGCACTAATGTCTGCAGCGGCCGAGGCCGCGGCCGCGGCGGCGGTGGACTCGGGCGGCTGGTGCATTGTGCTGGGTACCGGGGGGCGGAGGAGGCGAGTGCAATTTCCTTCGGCACCGTAATCTTTGTATGCAAGACGCCGAGGAGGAAAACGGGACCTGACGCTCCGCCCGGCGCGATTCCTCCTCCTCCTCCTTCTCAGCCGAAGGCGCTGGCCGCTTCTGCCTTCGAGGGCGAGCTTCGGGAAGGGAGGATGAACGAGGGTGAACAGAACAGCCGGGGACCCGAAGGGGGGACCCCTTCAGTCCTTCGCCATTCACTTTCCCCTCTAGCCTCACACCCCCCTTTATATTCCGCTTCACGTGGGGTGCGGGGAAGGAGGAAGGGGAAGACCAGGGGAGGGGGGAGGCTAAGGGAGGGGGTGGGAAAGCCGAGAAATGCCCACCTTCTCCGGACAACTCCGAAGCCACCTCCACCCCTCCTCCCGCCGCGGCGGCCGCTGCAAAACCCTCCCGGTCGCTCTGCACGAAGGCGGCGGCGCCGACCGAGTGTCGCCTTCCCCTCGCCACCCCCAGCCCCGCCGCCGCCGGCGAACCCTGAGCTCACTGTGGCTCAAACCTCCCCTCCCGGCCCCGCCGGCCCCGCTCGGCCCTCCCCCCACGCCCTGCGGACCCTTTCAAACCCCCTGGGCTCGAGGCGGCTGCTCCGTGAGGAAACGCTGGCCGCGGCTGGGGCCGGCGCGGCGAGGCTCGAAGCGGGGCGGCGGCGGGGCGCCGGGTACGGTGAGCCCAGCAACGGGGCGCGGGCGGGCGCGCAGAGACGCCGGGTCCTCGCGGAGCACGGCCGGGGCGCGGCGGCGGCGGTGGCAGCGGGAGCCCAGGGACCTCTCCATCACTGGCAGCCATGGAGCCCGAGCATTTTCCTCCCTCTGGGCAGGCGCCTCGGCTCGGCACACGTCCTCGGGGAGGAAGGGGCCGGCGCCTGAGCCTCCCCGGAGGGCGGCGGGACGTGCGCTAGCGCCGACGATGCGAGCCGCTCTAGTCCTCTTCCTCTGCAGCCTGTTCGTCCGCACCCCGCTGGTCCCGCGGTCCGGGCGGGAGGGGGCCGCAGGCGGCGGCGGCGACTCCTTTCTCGGCGGCGTTGGTGGCCAGAGGGGCTGCTGCAGCGACTGCAGCCGACGCCGTTCAAAGGAACGAGAGGTGGGGTTGGTCGGTGTCGGCGAACGGGGCGGGTGAGTGGGTGGGTGCCGAGGGAGGGCGGCGGGCGGAGAGGGGGCTGTGGTGGTTGTTACTAGTGCTTTTCTCCGGCTCCACCGTATCCCCGGGTCTCTCGCGGCATCGGCAGAGGAGGGACCAGCGCCCGAGCGCAGGAGGAGGAGGGGCGACCGCCGGCCAGAGGAGGCGGTGGCGGTGGCGGGGGGAGGGGGCTGGCTGAGGAGAAGGAGGGAAGATGGCGTCTGCGCATGCGCCCCGGCGCCGCAGACATAAAGCCGGGTCTGGCGGAGGAGGAGGCGGCGGGTCTTCGAACCTCGCCGAGCGCCGGGTCTCCTGGCGGAAATTTCCGAAGGCTGGCGGAGGCGCCGACGACGTCGGCGGCGGCGGTGGTGGGGGGTGGGGAATTTCGGCCGGGGGAGCGAAACCGGGTCGGCCGGAGAGAGTCGGCCTGATGGGGCTGGGGCAGGGTGCGGGGCGCGCGCAGGTTAGGTGTGTCCGCTCCTTTTTCACACGCGGCCGGCGCGCGCGCGCAGGCACGCGGCAGGGGAGGGGGCGCGGCAGGGAGGGGCTCGAGGAGGCCGCTGGCGCCCGGGTCTCGGGTGTAAGCGCTCTGGGTAGTGTCCCCCGCCTGCGGAATGGGTAATGAGGCTTTTCTCCGCAGCAACAGCATCACGAGTTTCAGTTCCCAGGAGTCCGCCGCCGCCACGACATGAGTCAGGCTTTCTTCCTCGGCGCGTGGAGGAGCCCTCCTCCTCCTCGCCGCACCTGGGCTCGACCCCGGCCCGCGCGGCCCTCGCCCCCTCGGAGGATGCCCCAGCGCTCGGAGCCGCAGGGTCCGCGAAAGGCCGGTGGCTCCTCGGGATAGACGCTCCCTTTTGTGCGGCGCAGTTGCAGCTGCCATGCGGTCGCCTCGCCTTTCGACGGCCACGGGCTAGCCAGCCCGGCAGATATTGCAGCTGTTTGCAGTTAACTGCCTGAGCTCTTCTCTGGAGAGGGAGCGCTTGCAATCCGTCGTTACCTGGAGGGAAGCAGTAGCCCGGCCTAGTAAATAACTGACCTCAACAGGTGGAGCTTATCTCCAGCAGGGATAGCATTTCGTTTAATTGTCCAGGCTGTAGCCTGCATAGGTTTGACTTAAAAGACAAACTGGCCTAGTCATGGTGGCAACACGATGATCAATGAAGACTACCCTTTAGGGTTAGAAAAGAGAAAGAACCATCTGCAATTCCAGTTTAAAAAATAATAATAAAACCTTCATGGATCTGAGCATGGTGCTACAGAAGGAATGTTAGGTTTGATGGGAGGCAGTTTACTGGAAGTTGCTTCCCTGGCATCACACGTCAAAACATTCTAGCTCTAAGCATTGTTTACTACTAGGCGAGAGTGTACTTCTCGCCCAGGAATTAAAAAACAACAAAGTATTATAATATAGAAAACCCTAGGGAGAAATGTGGTTTTATTTCAACTTAGGTTGTTGAGAAACTGAACGTTTATGGTTAGACCTATGCTTCAGTAAGTCTCACAGACTTCCAGATCTACAATCCTATTTTGAGCTTATTAAAACATAAATGGCATAATTGTCGATTCAACACGTTACTTTAGGTTTCTCTAGACTTTTCCCCTCATTCTGTCCCCCAAGAGGTTAGGAATATCACCATTCTATTACTGAATAGAAACGCACCCTCAACACCCCCGTATAGCCTGTATCAAAGTTTTGCTATATTGCTTTTTCTGTGGTGTCTCCCACTAAACCCAAAAGGTAGGACTACGTGTTTTTAATGTGGAGTTCTGGAGTAGGTACAAAGTAGGTGCTCACAAATATTGAAAATGACATGGTAGTAAAAATCAAATTCACTTGAAAAGACCGGACTTAGTTTATGTTACTCATGAATTAATACATGATGACTGGGGTTTTTTTACATAACTATGGCCATTTGTGTATTTTACAAAAATAATTTCTTTTTTAATGTTACAACAGCTTTTGTTACAAGAAATACACCTGATTAATGGCCGCCATTCATTGTTGAAATGCAACTCTGACATGCTTTTTTCCACAGTTTTTGAACGGAAAATAGGAAGTATCCTAATGAACTGAAACTGCAATAGAATTTAGTAGGGCAAAATGTGTTTGTGAGCTAGTGTGAAAGAAAATGCTCTAGATATCTCAAAATCTTGCCTTAGGTCAAAATTTTAAATTACCCCAAACAACAGCCCAACACCCCCTGGTGTGTTGAGCTAAATACCTGCCGCCTAAATACCAACTATGATAGGGTTTGAAGCAGAAGAAAACCATGTAATAAAGTCTTCCGGACTTCCTTGGTGGTGCAGTGGTTAAGAATCCGCCTGCCAGTGCAGGGAACACGGGTTCGAGCCCTGGTCCGCGAAGATCCCACACGCCGTGGAGTAACTAAGCCCGTGCGCCGCAACTACTGAGCTTGCTCTCTAGAGCCCGGGAGCCACGACTACTGAAGCCCACATGCCTAGAACCCGTCCTCCGCAACAAGAGAAACCACCGCAATGAGAAGCCCGCGCACCACAATGAAGAGTAAACCCCGCTCTCCACAACTAGAGAAAGCCTGCGTGCAACGAAGACCAACTCAGCCAAAAATAAATAATAAATAAATTTATAAAAAATAAAAAAATAAAGTCTTCCAGCGTTGACAGAATGAGTCATTGAGATAACCCTGTAAAAGCAGATACTTCTAATAACAGGTAGTAATTAGTATTGTTATTTTGGGCTGTTTTGATGTTGGGGGTTAGTGGGTTTATTATTTCTTTTAAAAGAAAGTTGTTACTGTTTTAACTTTTCCAGGATAACATAAGACACAGAAAATACAGCCTTTTGAAATGTGTTTCACTTTTATCTGCCATATCACCTTCAAATTCCTGGTTAGGCTGCATCAAGTCCCACTGAGATATGACGAGCAGCTCTGCAATTACGGCAACCTGCGTTTGAGAAACATCGCTCTCTCTCCCTCCCCTTTCTCCAGTTGCCAACATTTCTATGACCAGCAATACATAAATATAAGTCCATAAAAACAAGCAGAAGCACTTGAACAACCCCATATTGTTATCATGTTACCTCCTTTTAGTCTAAAAGGTCTGGATTTTTTTTACATTAATATCAAATGCACACTGCTATGTGCAATTAAGTCATTAATTCCTTTGAACCCAGTACTTGGAGTTACCCTTTGTCTTTTGAAAGACTGCATTTCACCTGTTTACATTCTAAAGGTATAGTTCTGAATTACTCTCTATTGTGGAAAAGATTAGTCCATAGTGCAGTGTTCACTTAAATCTCGTTATTGTGACATTGCAAACCCCATTGTTACCGAAAGCTCCACCTCTCTGTATACCAGGGCTGAATCGAATCTTGGAGACAGAGTTTGGGTGAAGTAGAAGAAGATAGCTTTATTGCTTTGCCAGGCAAAGGAAGACACACTGGGCTTCTGCCTCAGAAAAATGTCTCAGCCCCAGATGATTTGATGAAAGGATTTTGTAACAGGGGTTCAAAGGCGGGGTCTTTGACAAGATTAGGGTGTGAGCAGGGCCTGCACTTCCTCAGTCTCCTCTCAGATGCTCGGTCCTCATCTTGATGAGCTTCTCTGGTCCCTTTAATCTTGCCTCAGGTGGTTTCTTGGTGGCTCCTCCCTTGATTAGCAGCTGTGCGAATCCACCCTTTGGAACTCAAGGAAGGTCACGGAGGTGGAGTCTTGCCTATAAGAAATGGGGACATATATACACTACCAAACGTAAGGTAGATAGCTAGTGGGAAGCAGCCGCATAGCACAGGGAGATCAGCTCGGTGCTTTGTGGCCACCTGGAAGGGTGGGATAGGGAGGGTGGGAGGGAGGGAGATGCAAGAGGGAAGAGATATGGAGATATATGTATATGTATAGCTGATTCACTTTGTTATAAAGCAGAAATTAACACACCATTGTAAAGCAATTATACTCCAATAAATATGTAAAAAAAGAAAAAAGGGGGGGACAAAAAGGGCCTCTGTGCCTGGGAGCCCCACAGGGTGCCTGCTCAGTTTCACTATGTTTAGACTTTTTTCTACCATAAAATAGAAATTTTCCTGACCATTATAACTCAATTTACCTATTTGTGAGAACTGTGAAATAGATCTGTATTTAAAACCAATTAACTCTCCAAAAGTAATGCCCTTAAAGAACAGGAAGGGAATACTCGGACTCAGAACGGCTGTGAGTGCAAAGATAAATACTAAAGAGAAGTGGGTGCAGAAAATACACCACTGATCCACTCCAGTAATTTTTCTGGCTAACCAGTGCTTCAGTCCTGCAATAGCACTTATCTGTAACTTTTAAATGTCATCTGAAAAAAAAAAAATCAAATCTTTCAATAATGAGTTAAAAACATGAAAAAAGTCACACATGTTTACCTATGAAATTTATGCACAGGGATATTACAGCATGTTTATAAATCAATTTGCTGCCTAGAAAATTCTTTACATGAGACCAGGAGTCGTATGTGCTAGTTGACTTTTGTAAATTGCACAAAAATACTTATTTTGAAACTTTTCATTCAAATTTCAATGAGTATAGCTTAGCTTGTAACTGATTAAATTTTGCAGCACTTGTTAAATTTTCAGTATAAATGTTTCTGGTCAGCCAAACAATTTTATATCCTCAAAGGAGACACGATTATAAAATGAAAAAAAGTACAGAAATTTGAATTTATGGTTCAGAAGGCACACTGGGATACATTAGCTTGTTAAATTCTACCCTTTGAGGGAGGAGGCATTATCGTTCACATTTTAGAAGTAAGTGATCCCGGAGAGGTTAAATAACTCATCCAAGGTTTATGCCTAAATCTGGGTACTCAGGCCCTCTTAATTTCAGATTCTATGCCTCTGTGCTGAGGGATTTTTCTGAAAAAGCAGTCTGACCTCTAGAGACTAGTATTTTTCAAAGCTTTTTTGGAAATTAGGGAGTGTTCTTTTAATGCTTTCGAATGCCAGTGAAGATACACTGCACACACACTGATTGCATATAGAATTTCTTCTACATGAGGAGGATAAAAGACTTCTTCCCTGTTTGAACCAATGTAAATGTTACACATGCTTCCACAGTCGGTCTTTGCAGACTTACGAATGTGTTAATTTGGAGAATTTTCTCGCAACTCAAAAAAAAATCTTTTCTAACTTCCGCTACAGAACTGTGAAGTGACATTGAAAAAAGAAATAATTTGTTAATTTAGGGGTTTTTTTAAGTTTATAATCAAATAATCCTCCAGATCTCCCCAAATGATAGCTAATATTTATTTAATGCCTACTCTCAACCACACATTTTCTAACAGCTTTCAGTGTTTTATCTCTAATTCTCACAACTGTATAATGTACAAACTATAATTACCCCATTTTGCAAGTGAGGAAAGTGGGGTACAGAGAGTTTGAGGCCTCACAACAACAAGTAGTAGGGCTAAGACACAAATCCATACCGTGTAACCACCTCTTACTTCACAGCTGCCTCTTGAGACACATTGTTAAATCAGGTTCCTGCCAATTCTAGCTCCCAAGTTAAATTTCTACATAATACTCACGTTTTAATTTTTCCAAAGAATCTAGGAGCACCATTTTCTCCTGATGCAGAGACATTCTAGGAAAGAATGAACATTTTAGAGTCTCTACTGTGGCTGCGTAGGAATTGGACATAAATGAATAGAACAACAGCTTGATAAGTTGGATGATCCTTCACTGATCAAAAACAGATGTCAAATGCTTGGGGAAAAAAAGGCATTAATCACACATAATTGAGGAACACTGTCTATACAGGACAAGATAAATGTTTTCCCATTTTAGCAATTAGTGTTCATTTAACATGAGAGCCTGTAAAATAGGGACAATAATAATCTAGTCTTTCCAACATGTTCTAAGGA